ATCCGAATCATTATTGGCTGGTGTGATCAGGCCGTTAACACGACCTGAGACAAGAGCTACATCCCGACTAGCTATCTAGCCCCTAACAATCCTACACCCTGATAAGGTAGTTGTTACGAGGCCACGAGCAGTGGACGGTTACACCGTGGAGGCAGTAAGGACCTCTGAAACATCGGTAAATTTCTACCAGACTACACGGCGCAACAACCTAGAAGACGGCAATCTTCAGGAATTGATTCCTTGCAAACCCCCCCCCCAAAGAAAGGATAAAATCACTGTGTAATAATAGCTGTACTTTTTTCAAAATGTGAAAATAATACCTGCAGAAAGTGTTGAAGCAAGAACCTTTGTCATTTAATTTTACCGTGTCCTGAGTCTAGTCTCAGGTTGATACATGCAACAAACAGTTGAAGTCCTATAACTGTATATTGATTTTGAGTTGCCATCTTTGCTGTAGGTTTAGACCAGCATTTATATTTGTATATCTCCAGTTCTTTTCACATAGATGAAGATCAATACTAGATCATGAAGAAAAAACTGGGATTATTTAAAAAATAATACTTTGGCAACCCAAACAGCGTGTTACGCTCTGTTACTGGCTGATATAATATTTGTTTGTGGTTTATTTAACAATGTTGGCAGTAACTCAGACTGTAAAGTCTCAAATTATAGGAAGATTAGTGAATAATTGTTTGGGAAGGATATGGAAAGGAGTGGTTATGGCCTATTTGAAGGTACTATCCTGGTATTTGTCTGGAGGTATTGAGGAACACCATTACAAGCTTGTCAGGATAGCCAGTCTTCAGCTGAGATTTCAGCCGAGAACCTCTAAGATGTGAAATGCTAGTCAATTGGCCACAGTGTCTGGTGACTGTTTTAATAAACTGTTCTGGTGGGTGGATCTTCAGCCTTTAGTCTATGTAAGACAGCTAAATAATTGTCATATTCCTCAACGAGATCCTCTACCAAGGACAGTTGTTAACTTTCTTGCAGGATGCTAATAAAAATGTTTAATTCTGGATTATTGGAATAGTCATATTCCATAGTTCTGAAATATGCCATGTTAGAAGTCTGACATGACCGAACAGAAAGTCATTTGGATATATCTAGCCCTGTAAGTAGCATTATATATTCCTTTAGTGTTAAACTGTAGTAACTTCTTTTTCCAGGAAATACTGACAGCTTTTCAACAAGAACACAAACAAGCCATCTGCTGCGATGCCAAGGGTTTGGCAACCCTTTCCTAAGAAGATAGAATATATTACCCACCTAATTCTTAATACCACGTAGTTGCCTATTGCAATAGTATTACACAACAACCACTTTTATCACTATTTTCTTTCCCAAACTCATTTAACCCCTTGAAGTCATTATCAGTGGCTCTGTATTTGGTTTAAACTTACATAATAAAGTGCATTGTCATAAAGTTGTAAAATTCCACGGCTGTGTCAGAATATAAATTGAAGTTTCAGTTATATATTTAGCAAGTATTAATACAAGCTGAAATATAGAGCACGTGATTTTTTGAGTAGACCTTCATCACTATTATGCCACCGTACATCGTGGAATATAGGTACACTTTATGTTCACTACATATATATCGTTTTCGCCACGGTGGTCTAGCGGTCAGAACACTAGCCTTGTAAGCCTGGGGTCCCGGGTTCAATTCCCGGTGGTGCTCAAATTTATAACTTGTGTTGGGCAAGGCCGTGGTCTAAGCATCACGGAGTTTTCCTCCGGGGGCTTCCCCGGTTTCTCCGTGGCATCCCAACAATTACTCCACTCACACACAGAAGAAGGCAATGGCAAACCACTTCTGATCATCTCTGCCAAGAATGTATATATGTATGAGCAGGTCCCTGACAACCTGAAGAGGTTGGAAGGATCCTGTTCATGATATATGGACCTGTCGTCAGACAGAACACTACAAATAAAAAAAAAACATATATATATATATTGCATTACACATCATGATGAAGGAGGAGCACGGACTCCTGCCATCTGGTGGCAGGAGTCTGTATTGTTATGAATGGGTAATTGTAAGTACCATCATGTACAAAAGAATTATAAACATTATTAATATGTGATACTTTTAAGTACCGCAGACGCATAAAGGGATATTCATAAGCAATTTAATTAATTCAGTACACTTCATTTGGGAAAAAAGGAAGACAAATGACTGATGTTGCTACTTTTTGATAAATAACCCTTTGTCTTTATTTTTTACAGGCAAAGTTGATGTGGATAATTCTCCGTTTATGCGTCAGATCATTGCTGAATCAGTCTCTAATGATCCTGATAATTATTCTGAAGCAATACTTGGGAAACCCAATCCCGAATATTGCCATTGGATTTTGAAACCTGATTCCTGGGGTGGCGCAATAGAATTAGCTGTGTTGTCAAACTTCTATGGCCTGGAGATTGCAGTTGTGGACACGCTGAATGCTATAATCAACAGGTTTGGCGAGGATCAACATTATGCACAGAGGGTGTTCCTTATGTTTGATGGCATTCACTATGACCCACTGTACCTTGAACCATTTGAGGTAACAGGATAAAAATTATATCATTTTAATTCGGCTTAATTTTATGGTTTTATGAGTAAATTTCAGCTGTAATAGGTTTAGTAAAGCAACAAAATTACAATGTAGTTATAGGTTTATTAATTAATTAATTTGTCGCCCTCAGTGGACTAGTGGTTAGCATGCTTGCCAATGGACCCAAGGTTTGCGGTTTCAAATCTGACCGAGGACGATGGATTTTTAAGGGTGATAAAAATCTGTAGCAAAACTTCCTTCGGAGGGGAAGTAAAGCTGGTGGTCCCATGTCATAGATTTACGGCATGTAAAAGAACCTTGTGAGCATGATATGAGATGTTTCGTAAGCAAAATTAAGCGGCCGTTTCTCACCCAAGTCTCTCCTGTTTCTCTACTAGATGGCTCTAGCAGACAAAATCAGGATTGAGTATAAATTGTGCAGAATCAGTGGGCTGGTCACTCACTACTCACAAACGCACACATCAAAAGTCAAAGAAACCTCCGAAAGGAGGCCCTATGCTCTGGAAAAGAGCAATAGGAAATAAAGAAGAAGAATTTATTTGTTTTTTATTCATTCATTCATTCTTTCACTGATTTTCAATTTTACATTTTTTTTATTTGAAAGAAATTAAAAGTTTTGTTTACATAAACATGTGTATTGTCATCATTTTAAGATCACATTTGTCAAATTTCTCGAACACACACAACTCTCTAATTGTTATGCTCAAGTATTTATTTCTGAAGATTTTAATTAATGAGCAAACAGCTAAGACAGGCCGAAATTGATACATTCCCTTACTTTCCTTAAGGAACCTGCATTGGAGTAAATATTTATGATTTTCCATAAACATCATTGTTGGTTGCTTGTTGGTTATTTGTGTTTTTTCTGTCTTTTGTCGGCTAAATTTGTGGTTAAGTATGATTTTGTGTTCTCATTGGCCACACCTCTCAGGTGATGCATGTACAGAAGCATTTTAGCATTCTCTTAACAATAACTCACATAAAAGTCTTCTAATCATGAATGTTTTGATAAGGCAAGCAAAACTGTTCATTTCAGTCTTCACCCAGTGACACCCTTAATTTGCTAAAGTGCCCCAGATGCATCATTTTTGGGCCCTCTTTTTGTGACAGTTCGAAATGTAACAATTTATCAAAATCTGTTCACCAACAACAGTGCTGGTGCTAGGTCATGAACAACCTTTATATTCTTATATGTTGTATTACGCTGTTCTCTTATTTCTATAAGTAATTCAGTAAACAGTATTGCATACTAAAATGAAGAAGATGACCAATGTTAGGTACATCTTCCTGATAAATCTCGTTGTGCGGTAAATAATGTCATGGTGTGGTAAAAAAAGAAAAAACCTATCCCATTGCATCTGTCATGGTTTCAGTAGTAAACAATGACAGATGAAAATACTACATTTTGACACTCAGATTTTGGTTTTAAGTTATTGTCTACTAATAAATTGTATCTATCTGCATATGGAAACTACCTCTTTAAAGCTATTTCAACAGAGTAAATATGAGACAGAACAATGTATGTGGGAGTATCGAACACGAGCCTTCTGTTTAAAAACATACGCCACCTGTTATGTTAAAACATTTCCAATCTGTGGCACTGAAATTTTTGGATTTGTGATTCGTGTACTATGACTAAAAGCATGATGTTGCCACTTTTCTCAGATTCAACATTTTACTCAGAACATGAGTGCCAAATGGAGTTTTGTCATAGGACATTTTTGTCTTAATTTTAGTCAAGAAAACAGCTCTAAAATCTTCAGTTTGAGTTTTCAGATATTTTGCTTATTTTTTCTCCCCTGTGTAATTTTCTTGTCCACGAGGATCACTTCAGCGCAGGGTCTCCTCCCCATGACACGCTACTCGCATTCCTTTCTCCTGTCACAGTGATGTTTGCCTTGTTTCAGGGAAATAGCATACAGACTATGTTCCTGACAACTGATGAGCTAGTATTTCGCCAAGCTGAGGAGTTGGCCCGTGAAGCCAGGTCCAGCAAGCAATACACAGATTTGGATCGCTTTACTCTGAAGTGCATTCACTGTCAAGAACTGCTGAGTGGGCAGATACAGGCACAGCAACACGCAAAGGCTACAGGGCATATGAATTTTGGGGAGATCCAATAGTGAAGACAAGTGTCTTTTGTTACGTAGAATGCTACCATGCTTGCTTAGTCACATATAACAGATGTACTTACACTTCTTTCAGTATAGCCTATATCAAAGTTTTCATGCATTTGTTAACTCTAAATTAGAGTATTTTATCCAAGCTCGTCTAAATAATATTTAAGAATTGGGTCCGTACCTCAAATAAAACACAACGCTTCTAAACTGCAAAAACTGATTTTTCAACGCTGTTTCAAGAAATAATCGCAGTTTATTCCGAGAATCATATGAAACCCATGAATAAATTCTGTGGGAAAAGTGTAGAGTTTTTAAATATTAAAATGATTGTGCATGCACTCACACAGTAAACATTATTTGGGGTAAGGAAGTTGAGAATACTTGACTATGAGAAAACCTATGACAATTTAAATTGTGAGATATTATGGCAGATTTTAAATGAGGTAAATATACAACCACAGTTAATAAGAGCCTATATCAAAATTTAATTTTTTTTATTAATTATTTAAATGGACAACCTCATAACCCATAATTACCAATAAAAGGGTAAGGCAAAGATGTGGACTATCCCGATATATATTTAATATATATTCACAGAATAGTTAAAGAATGGAAACAGACTATAAATAATGCAATTCATTTAAAAAAGATTAAATTACTTCAAACTAGGCTTGTGATTTTCCATATTCTGTTGATGGGAGTGGTTTGTCTGACATTACAGATGAAGTTTTGTCTGAATTCTTTTGTATTAGTATTTTGAGGTAGCATATCATTTCCAGCATTTTCTTTAGTCAGGGCAACTTTTGTTTGAAACGTGTTTGGCCTGTAGATCTTTCAATTCTGCTCACGGTCCAGATCGCTGCAGGCTCAACATGACGGGAGCTGCGTCCACCTGAAAGGTTTAGTCATTTGCAGTGTTGCTGATGACGAACCCCATTTTATGGGCCTGAATGTTGAAGCGTTTCAGCCCTGCAGCTTCAAAGGACTTATTTTCCCATCATTGAATTACAGAATTTTATAAAATAATTTTTTTAAGATTTTATAATGTTAAAACCATTAAATGAAATTCTGGGTATATGTAAGTCATGCAAACAAGTGGTATCTGATCTTAAAGGCTATGAATCAATTAAATAGGCCACTACATTTACCCACACCAGAACAGAAACAAATCATAATTTATTATCAGTTTTTAAAGTGGCATTTGCAAACTTTCTTGAATTTAAACCAGAACTTTCCAACTCTTCAGTCATAGTAAATATACCAAAAAAAAAACCATGGTTAATCTGTTTTATTTTATGTTCTGTTCACAGTAAAAATGTGTTTTTTATAAGGTATGAAAGTGTCATTTGGGATCAGGAGTATCGTAACTAGCTAGTCCGACTGATGGTTTCTTTTACGTTCTTATTTTCCGCACCTCAACTGTTAATGCTGAATTATTAAGCAGCATAATAAACAAAAGTTTGGTGTATTTATGTTCAGAATGTGGACTGATAATATTATTTATTTCTGTGGTGTGTAGGTTGAACACACTTATCATTGCATCAGGTGATTATACATGGTAAACTCTGATTTAAATATGGTTAGCATTGTAGTTTTGGTGTTTATAGAAGAAAATAATTACGGTTCTTGTAGAGATTTTGTTTTCCTTGCAACATTGATTTTAAGATGACAAATTGAATGGTTGAACTCGGTGCAAGTGTTTGTGATAAAAAGTTTTCATCTTGCGGCAAAACTCCTGTCACAGCATGAGAGAAATGACTCTGGTTTGCCTTTCAGAAAAGATTGTTCCTGTTAATGATGATTTTAGTAAGCCAGGTCGAGACAGTATTAATAAGGTTTTGTATTCTTTAGGGGTCTTTCATGTGTTTTACTACAACATCCTGCTGTGTAATATACTGTAATAATATTAATAATAGCAATTATTTGTCTACAAAGCTTTATTGTATACATTGTCTTATTATTACCGCTACATGTTTCAGTCAACTCCAACCACCTTTAGGTCAAACATAAAGGCTTTTTATTGAACTGTGTGACTTGTAATCTTCTATGTTTAAAACATATAAATACAAATAATTATTATGCTCTGTTTTATGTTTCTGATTAAAATTTAAAACTTTAAACCTTGAAAGTAATTATTGTGTTACTATATCTACAGTGTTTTTAACATATTCAAAATTAAAATGCATTCAAACAATGAGTATTGCAAAATATTCCTTATTCCTAATACCTATAAGGATCCTTGTAGGATGTTTTACTTCTGTCTTTGTAGTACAGGTCTTATGGCCTGTTATGGGCACTACTTAACAGAATCCTTCCATCTTTTGAGGGTTGGCTCAAACATTATTATTATTAATATTATTACAGCTGTATAACAACTCTTACCAATTTTTAAAGTGCAGTATTCATAACTTCATCCACTTCTTCACAAAAGAAAGGTAATTATGTACCACTTCAGAGAGTATGATTGAATATTACCTCTTTGACTTTTTGTGATTGAATGTAATTTATCATAAGATGCAACAGCACAATAGTTGATGAATTTGAAAATAATTCGATTTAGCCATATTGTAATACGAGGCTCGTCCACAAAGTAAGTTTCCCTGGGGCCGTTTACAGAAACAAAACACAATTTCATGGAAATATTTATTGCAACAGATACAGCAAGTGTCCAGCTATTTTTCAACATATTCGCCACCGGAATTGAGACATTTGTCATACCGTGGGACCAACTTTTGAATACCTGTGTCGTAGAAGTCTGCCGCCTGGGATTGGAACCACGGTGTGACAACCATCTCCGCCTCTCTGTCATTCTCAAAACGCTGACGCTGACCGGACAGGAATTTCTTGAGGGGTAGGAAAAGATGGAAATCACTGGGAGCGAGATCCGGGCTGTAGGGTGAATGATTAAACACCTCCCAGCTAAACTCCTGCAGGAGACTTGCTGTCCGTCGAGCCGGGTGCGGCCTAGCGTTATCACTGACCGCACTTCACAGGCGGCGGGAGCTGGAATAAGAACCTCCATCTTCAACAGCTGCAACGATGCTACTGTGAGAACGCGGGAAGTACCGTTAGTGCATGCGCCATGCTACGTCATTGCTCTATCACGTACGCACAGTCGCTTCGCACAATATAAGGTTTGCTGTGAATCGTGAAAAGTTTCATATGTCAGTTAATCCTCATTGAGACAGGCTAAGTGTGGGCAGACCTGTTGATAAATTGGGTAATATCTAGATACAACCTTTATCCTTGTTTTGCAACTAGTGCACCTTAGTGCCTGGCTCTACATGTGTCTTACTTGCGCACTGCTAAACTCTTAACCAGCAGGCTCGTCATATGATTATATGTGGGTCTAACTCCTGAAATTAAAGCTCGTCTAAACAATATTTAAGAATTCAGTTAGTACCAAGAAAGCACAATACTTCACCATTACAAATATTAGCTTTTTGATGCTTTTTAAGGAAAGTTACTGTTTATATTGATAATCATACAAAACCCATGAATAAAAAATGATCATTGAAGCAGGTGGGTCATATAGTTACCATTTTTCTGTGTAAGAGTTCAATTTCCTTTCCCCATATGACAGAGGTTAACCATATTATATGTGAATCTTATCAAAGTTATTAATTCTGAAGCAAACTAAAAACAGCCAGTATGAGGATCCTGGTGAAGGTTCTGTTGCAGTCTAGAAGTTGATGGAATCCTGCAGTCCTATAAAGTATGTCACTGGGGAAAAGTGGTTATTTCTACTTAGGTTAGGAAAGGGAAAACCAAATAAAAGGTCTGTTGAAAATAACCATTATGATTTGTGACTGTTCCTAAGCCAAGGGGTTGAAAAGAAGTTTCAGATCACAGTTTCTTACAAGTTGGATTTTTTCTAGAAGAGGGTCAAGCATCAGCTCTTGAGATGTAAAATTAATTTAAAATTTTATTTTTTGCGATCTTGCGCTAAGAGAAATTTATGACACAGTACTCAAAACAACAAACAAAATTTTTAAAAGTGTTGTATTATTTAATAATAACATGTCTTTTGTCAATGAGTATTGTTAGGATGATCAAACCAAGGAGATGACTACATATGTAAGATTTGAGGTTTCCACAGCGGTGAGTATGAAGATTCCTGTCTTCTGGGTTGTTGCACTGTGTAGTCTGGTTGACTACACATTACGAAAGGATAATTTTATAATTGTTATTAAATAAATAGGATTTCACGGTGAGGACTGGGTTTAAGTGGCTCAGGAGTGGGTCCATTGGGTCTCTGTTGTGAACACTATAATGAACCTTTGGGTTCTATAAAATTCTGGGGGTATCTTTGGCTGAGAGAGTATCAGATTCTCAACTTCATGGTATTTGTTAGTTAATGTAGATTGTAAATCAATAAGTTGTAGTTTAACTGAGAACAGGATAATAGATCAAAAGAGTTTTGTGTAAAATGATTTTTTACAAAATTATAAAAGTTGTTAATAATGTCGTTAGTTCATTCACTTCCCGCTAGTGGCGTTGTTATACCATGCGGTCAAAATGGCAGTCGAAGCAACGTGCTGTAATTGAATTTTTGGTGTGTGAGAACGAAACAGTGGGAAACATCCACAAGCGATTTCAGAAGGTGTATGGGGATGTCGATCGCAGCACAATTTGTCGTTGGGATAATCGATTATCTGGGAAAAGTGGAGTCTCTTGTGGCGGCGGCGAATAATTGTCTGAGGAATGCAGGTCCTGAGTTTTACAAGGCGGATGTACAAGGACTGGTTAAGAAGTGGAAAATAACAGTTGAGAGTTGAGGTGATTATGTGGAAAAATATGATTTTCCTCCTAAAGGATATACCTACAAAGTGTATCAATAGCAATGCTATAGAATAAATATTGATTTCGTAAAAAATGTGGGGCATTGCTTTTGGAGTGACCCTCGTATGTATGGAGCTTAGGGAAATAAGTTGGGAGGAAATTTACCTTTAGATTCCATAAAAATTGAGGAATCTCTTCACTAAGTAAATGATTAGTAGTTTTCCAAGTGATACTCTCCTCGATAGAGTTACTTACAGAGTCACTGGAATGCAATGTACGTATTGTGACCGTCAGGCAGAGAACTGTGCCAGCCTCTAAGAATGAAATAATTTTTTAGAAAGTGCATTCTGAAGTAATATTTGAAGAACAATTGTAATGGCAAGTAAATAAATTATGTGAAAAAAAATTAATCTGAAAATAGTTGTGGCAACTTCATGTATTTTGTTTCATGATTTGGAACCAAGAAGTGCTATCACAACAGTGGAAAGAATCAGTTGTCCCTATCCACAAAATGGGACAAAACTGAGTACAGTAACTTTGAGGTATTTCTCTTAAAAAAAATGTTATCGAATATTCTTCTGGCATGGTTAACACCATTTATGAATGAAACCATCAGGGACAATCAATGTGGATTCCTTCGTTATTGATTAGATCTTTTGCATTTGACAGATATTAAATAAAAGGCGGGAGTATAATGGGTCACTTTGCCAACTGTTTGAGGACTTTAGGAAGGCATTTGACTCAGAAGGGAGGTGCTGTATGGTATTTTGATTGAGTATGGAATACCAAAGAAACTTATTAGGTTAATTAAGATGTATATGAATGGAGTATCTAGTGGAGTTTGTATAGGCAACCTTCTGTCGGATCCCTTGGCCTAAAACAGGGTGATGCTTTATCCCCAGTGCTTTTCTAATTTTGCTCTAGAACATGTGATCAGGAAGGTCAGAGGGAATTAGGTCTATTCCAGGTACTTGCCTATGCTGATGATGTCAGTTTGCTGGGGCACCAAGAATGCAGAATCTCTCCTACAGGCTAGCAAGGAAATAGGCCTAGAAGTAAATGTAGAAAAATCTAAATACTTGGGCATAATACGGGATCAACAACGGCAGGACATAGTTATAAGTATCAAAATATAAGTATATGGGAACAACAATAACAAATAGAAATGAGGTTCATGATGAAATTAAGAGTAAAATACATTCAGGGAACACTTGCTCTTATTGAATCCATAAACTGTTATCATCTCGTTTACTATCCAAAACACTGAAGATGAGGAAGCATAAAACAATAATTTTGTCTGTTGTCTTGTATGGATGTGAAACATGGGCTCTTACTATGGCGGGAGAACGTAGATTACAAGTGTTTGAGAACAATGTGCTTAGGAATATATTTGAACAAGTGGGGAATTTAGAATATTGCGTGACGAGAAGCTGTGTGAATTGTACGAGTCACCTAGCATAGTGAGGATAATGAAATCTAGGAGGCTCTGATGGGCTGGACATGTAGCACTAAGGGGTGTATACAGAATTTTGGTAGGGAATCCTGGAAAGCAACCACCGGGCAGACTATGAAGGAGATGAGAGGATAACATCAAAATGGATCTTCGGGAGGTGGATTGTGAGGATGGCAAATGGAGTTGGCTTAGGATCATGGCCAGTGGCAGGCTTTGGTGCTGTCGGTGTTGAACCTGCGGGTTCTGCTACCTGGGAATTTGTTCATCTTTTTAGTTGGTTCTAATCCTGACATCCAAGAAAAATATTTGATTTAAATATTTTTGTAATATTACATTGAAAATGGCCCTCAGATGTTGTTACATGGTTAGAAATGTTTTCTTTAGTTAACTTTCATAGACAAGTTCAATCTTCTGGTGCACACGGTACTAAATCAGTAATTATCACTGCCATCATCCTATCAGATATTAAGCACCGTAGCCCTGAATGATTTAACACAGTTTTTTATGTTCTTTCTAGAGTCTTCTTCTACCTAGGTTTACATGCTATAATCTGTTTAATTTATATGAAGGTTGAAGGGGGTTTTCCTACTAATTGGTTGTCCTAGAAGCAGCGTCGAGTGGTAATGATGCAACATTTTAGTTGAACTCTAGACAGGCTTTGTTATATTTCCAGCAACCTTGATGGAATTATTGTACTGCACCCATATGCAAAGGAGACTTCCATCCGTTGCTATGGGTGACAAAACAAAGATTGCTGTCTTCTGGGTTGTTTCACGTTGTAGTCTGGTAGATGTCCACCAACATTTCAGAGGTCCATGCTGCCTCCATCATCAGGGTGCCCTGATGCATTTTAAGAAAGAAGAACAATTAGTTACACTTACCATTCAATCTGACGTCTTGAAAAATTAGAAAAGAAGTGTCTACAATGAGAATTTTCTTCTCCAGAAAGAGAATGATGAACTATCCTATTCCCCTACTACTTACTGGAATGACGTGTGAAAAAAACTTTGAGCAGCGAGTACTGTAACTGCCTTTAATTTGGAAGTGATTTACGAGTTCCTGCATTAACAACTCAACCAAAGATGAATCACCTATGTAAGACTTGAGGTTCTCACAGCGGTGAGTATGAAGATATCCGAGGACTCCGAGAGCGAGCAAGAGTGCGCCGCCAGAACCAACCAGACCACTAACTCGGCCCTTCTCAGGGCCCTTATCCATACAACCAAACTCACCTTTCTCTCTCTACTTTCTCTCCCTCTCCCACTCTCGCCCACGTGCTACCATTGGTCCACTCCCATG